AGGTTCGAATCCCGCCGTGGCCAGGCATATTTTTCAAGCCTGCCCGGTGTGGATATACACTCAGAGTAACATCACACAAACATCTTATTCACCTGAGTACATTACACCAACACAGCAGATTTCATAACATGTAAATGTTTAACATTTAAGTTCCAAGCCAGATAAAATCCTTTGACACCCTTCCCCCAACACCAGATGCTTTACAACCTTCCTGAATATACTGTATAGTCACTATTGCCCAATCGTCGTTCCGGTGTCCCATAATTTTCTGATTTGGGGGAACACAGCTGACAGCTTAGCTTATAAAACACATTTGATTTTATAATTTATCCTCAAATTTATCTACAATGATCTAAAAAATGAAGTTCTTTGATTTAATCACTTGAGCAATTTTCATTCTTGACTCTTAAGGATCATTATGATGTACAATTTAATTTGCATGATAATTTACACCTGTCTGGACCTCTCTCCTCCGCAGAGGCTTTAGTTTTCTTAGGATTTTAAATATTACGATGAGAAACATTTCACTACACTCTACATGGCGGATCTTGGAACACGAGCGTAGAGTGTCTGGACCAAGACCAGTTTAATTGTGAGCTAAAAGTTGTTTGTCCTTTGGCTTTGATGATAGTCTGGTAACATTTCACGTAATTCAAATGCATTTTTGGAAGAGTCTTTGAAGGAACTGTTATGGTTGTCATTGGTCAATGTACTTGAAATGTTTTTCAACAGATATATTTTCCTGAAACTGTACTTTGTCCTTTTGATCAAAGCAACTTTTAATAGCAGCGTATTGTTTTTACCCAGTCGCCATGAAATTGTGCTGAAACAACGCTTTGCTGTAAATAACAAATTCTTGCAAATAATTTTAATCTCAAGCTCATTGGCTTGTGTCAACCAAAGGCAAAGTAAACATGAAGCCACTACTGAAACCCAGATTCTTATTTGCCTTCTCGATATACGCAAACTAACAGTTTTTTGTCATTGTCAATGTGCTTGAAATTTCCAACTGACATATTTTCCAGAAACTTTACTTTGTTATTTTGCTCAAAGCAACTTTTAAATCTTTCCGGAAAGTTTCAGCTTTGGCTATAGAGCCTCGTTTTCGTGTTTTGGGTTGGTTTTCAAACAAAGCACAACAAAAAAAAAGAAAAGACAACACATAGCGCCTGGCTGGGTACTAGGCAGATAAAAGGCTCTAAAGCCGATATCTCAATATTATGTCCAAGGCTAAATGCTTTCCAGAAGTGTCTATTGTGGCACCAACAAAAACACTTCTGTATTGTTTTTACCTAACCACCATGAAATTGCGCTGAAACGCGTTGCCGAATAACTAAAATTCTTTCGCACAATTTAATTTCTAAAGGTCATCTCAAGGTCATCAAAAATTGGCTTGTGTCAACCAAAGGCATACTGAAACCCTGGTTTTGAATGTGGGCGACTGTTTTTTTTCCAGTTTTTTGAGAAGCACAACTTAACCCTGTATATTATTAATTCATATAATAGATTCCGGTTGTGTATACATCGAGAAAGTACCATTTTCCTGGACAAACACTCAACTTTCCATAATAGGTATTCAAGATTTCAATTTTTCAAAGACCTTTGGATTTTTCCAGATTTAATTGAAAACATGATTTCCTGACAGTGTCAAGTGGTTGGTTACCTAGAAACATCTACCAAAGAAAAATGTGCCAAGTCATTGTTTTCATGTAGTGTGCCAAATATTTGAGGACTTGTTGCAAGTCAGAATAACTTTTTATTATACATTAGTCTTTGTGATGTTACTCTGAAGGCTAGTTTCCACTCAGGAAAATTATCCGTGGATTGGAACGGGGACAAGAAAATTTGTCTTTGTGTTAAAGTCATTAGTTCCAATCCACAGATAATTTTCCTGAGTGGAAACTAGCCTTTTAGTGTGCAACCAAACCGGCCAGCAGAAAAGTTGGCTTGGCCAGGGTGGGAATTGAACCTGTGGCCTCATCACAAACATAATATTCACCTGAGTACATAACACCAACACACACAAAATAATCATACATATTAGTCTCTTCAAAATTACAGTTGGTTAATATTTCAACTAAGATAGTTTCAATCACTTTACAATCAATTTGAGTTTGGTCTGCATTGCAGTACTTGGATAACATATTCATGGTCATATTCATTTGTCAATAGCAGTTTATGTACAGATTCTCATAATCAGTGTGGATTATAACAGTAAAATCAGTTGCTCATATTACTGCGAATATATATGTTATACAGCCAGGCTAGGTCACTTTATATGACATTTCAATATACATGAGCTGTGATTCGTAATCACTTTCTAAATGCAGAAGCTATAAACATAATATATTGTAATATGATCAGACAAAATGTCTGGGCAAAAGAAAATGAATCAGCCATGCATTTCATTCTGCAAAAGCTGGTTGCCCAACTGTTATAATCCACATTGTTTATAGTGAGAATGTTAGCATATCAGCAAGATAGTTCTTTTGGAACCAAACGTTTGGGTAGTCCTTGGCATGGCATTGGGTGTTCCGGGAGGTTCATGATGTACTTTGTAATTCTCTTCTCTTCACTTGGCCAACTGAAATGCAAGAAATGCCTCAGCGGAAGAATCAATGTCGTCATATCATGTCCGTGCAACAACACTGGAATAAACTTTCCTTTCGGGTTTCGGCAACCGTTCCCGTAAATCGTACCTGTGACCAAAAAATCCATTGTGAACTTAAGGTTATAGTCCATTTGGTGCTTCAATTGTGGCATATTAGGAGGGCATTCCGTGATTGCTTTCATGTCACTACTGAAGCACAGTATCACATATCTTGCCCGGTTGACCCGCTCCTCCAGCCAAGCAGTGGTTACTTGACCATTTTGGTCTATGTCATGTATATTTGTAACTTTCAGCTCGCCTTTTTTAACTGGTTTAAGGTCTGAAACGAACGACTTCAGATTTATCATCGCTTGTGTTTGGTTATCCGAATCTGAACTGACAATAAAAATCTCATCTTCTGGGGGTGAAGGGGGGTCAGGTTCTGTTGGGGGCATGTGTGTAGGGGGGTCAGGATCAGACCCACTTAACTTGGGAGAGCAGCTTTTCGACCTTTTGAATGGTTTCTTTAGTGCCTTGTAAATTTTTGTAAACACCCCAACGCGAGCTGGGCAACTTATGGATCTTAGGGGACTTTTCTGGGCCTCTTGTTGTTGTTTAGTTATGTGAGGCGACGTGGGATTTTGTTGAGATTTCGAAGTTTCGCTTTGATCTTCAACTTCGTCAACATCGATTCGATCCAACTTTTCGTGGCATTGTTGTAAGTCTGAAGGCGAGTTTTGTTCACTCATGTGACGCGACGTAGGATTTTCTTTAAATTCTAAAGTTCCATCGCTTCGATCTTCAACTTCATTAGAAATGCCCAACTTTTCGCAGCGTTCTAGTAAGTCTAAAGGCGAGTTTTGGAGAAAATCTAACAACTCATCGCACGCCGAATACAATTTGCATTCGACCATTGTCTCAATCAACGAATCGAACGTTTCGGGCACATCACTTTGCGACACCCACGTTTGGAGTAATTCACGAGCTGGATTCTCACATTTCGATAATTTTTTTATTGTAGCTCTAGTTGGAGGCGGTGTTAGAAGTTTTCCAGCTAGTTTCCTCCAATCTCGGCCGAGACATGTCTCTGTTAGTTCGTCGTAAAATAATGTCAAGCCGTCGTAAACAAGCGTGTCTGCTGTCACGCAACACGATAAACATTCATCTGAAAGCGCTTCTTTTCGCTGCGAAATTTCTTCAGAATAATCTTCGAAGTCGGACATCGCTTTTTTCTTCGCTTCACGATGTACAAATACGCTTTACTTTGCCATGTAACGCTACGATCAAACCATACATGAAAATTACTTCGTTCCCAAATTCGCTGCTTGAAACTAGATGATCAACGAAGCATGGGAAGCCTTGACTTGCTTGACGTCAAATGCATTTTTCTGGAAGAGCGGAAGACGAAAAAGAGCCAGTGACGTGCGTGCATCGCGTCACGTGATGCATTTATAATGACTGATCGCACAGCAAAAACACAGTGGCAAAAACAGGTTGTTTTGTAGATTAATTTAGCTCTGGGTAGATGTCGAGATCAGTAAAATACTATCTACAGTATCTAGAGTTTAATATAGCTATATCGTAAGTTTCGCGCACAATAGAGCCAATAGAGTTAGGGCAAATTAACCCCCTCCGCAGGCATCTCTTAATCGTCGAAAACTTGTATAATTTAGTAATTCAAATAACTGATGTTCTTATTGGGTTACTAGGTAAGGCAGGGCAAGCGCCTATAAAGTGATGACATTCGTGCACGAAACTTATCCACAACACAGTACAACTCAAGTTGTAAGCAGGTTGCATGCGACAGTTTTAGACAAAAGGTGTGACGAAACACCAGGAAATATTAACCAGATGAAAACGAGGCAATGCATGGGTCCTGAGACTTGGACAAGAGTGCAATAACAGTACAATCTGTTATCTTCGTTCATAGGGCAATCTTTTACAATTCTGTCTTCTGAATATCACAATTGCCCTTACTCCTTAGCCTGCTCACAGACGTTGTAGTTTTATTTCGTCGCTTGGCGTAAGAACTACAACGTCTGTGAGCAGGCTAAATTGCCCTGAGCTTTTGCTGAATGAAACAATGTAAGAATAACGGAAAATATTTCGTTTTAATAATACCAATATTATTCCCGCTGACGGTCTCTTGAATTAGTGGGTGGTGCTCTGAGACTAGAGACCTTACGATTTTAGGACGGCAACGCGACTGCGACGGCCAAAACAAACTCCTTCAAATAAATGGTAGTAAAAATAGTTCGTCGTATATTATCAATCGTATGAATTCAATACAGTCTCAGAAGTTGAATACATGGGTTTTATAGTTGGGAAGAGTTCTACTGACCCCAGTTTGAAGTTGCACTTGTTGCGGCTTGGAATGCAGCCGTTGTATCAAGACGTGAAAATCTGTGATTTGGCGTTGTAAACAGAGCAAGGACAATGTCTAAATTATTCATATATTGTAATTACACAATTCTGTCCAATGATCTATTGTATTGGTAGCCGTTGCCGTCCTAAAATCGTAAGGTCTCTAATATCGCCTACCAGAGATCGCCTACATCCCCCCAACATACATACAAAAAACACCTTTGAATGCGTTTGGTCACTTTGGTCTTATAGGCCGTGGGATGAGCATCCAAAAGATGCTTAGAAAACGGATTCCGTTGCACCCCTCGTGGAACTACGTAATTTTCACATGAATAAATAGATAAAAACTTACTTTATCACAATCCGTTGCTCCCCAAACGAAACAGGTGCACAATTGGGAGAAAAATCCCTCCAAAGTTTGATATTTTCCCGCTTCGAAATATTCGAACCGCCATTGTTTTGATAGCAAATACGCATGCGCAACTCAGCCAAACTCGCACTGCGCACGCGCACAACCAACGCACATGCTTCGAAGTGGAAACACGCTCAGTTATGCAAATAAAAATGGCTGAAGATATTTATAAAACTCGAATATCCTCATGTTTTATGCATTTTGATGGCGTTACGGAGCAACTTTGCAAAGTTAAACGCCAAAGGCTTAAGAAATTTCTTGAGCGTATGTCAAAATGGGTCAAACTTAAATGTCAACAAGCTGAAATAGCTAATAAATCGTACGAGAACATCGATGACGGATCTGTCAATTCATACATCGAGAAGAACCCTGACACCATTAACTTAGAATGGAACCATCATATGAAATGCTGGAAGAGATTTTGTGATGAAGAGAAGATCCGTAGATAACAGAGAAGGAACTAGCTCTAAAACTCTAACTTCTACCAAAGAATCACACGTGGAAGTGGAGGCAATAGAACCAAGGCGAAAAATTACACGTCAATCAGTCGCAGAAGCTATAAATATAAAGGCCCTGCCTAAAAGAAACGCGCATGTACTCCCAGAAATATGTATTATTTGTGAAAGAGACGCCTCGTGGTTCTCACTAGACAAGGTATGGTCATTTTGATAGGTATAATACTAGCGCAATGTGCACAACATTCTCAGGTTTGGTTTTAAAATATATTGAATTGTGATTAATTAAGTTTATTTAGGGTAAAGTAGTTTCTATGCTACAAACATCCAACCTTGTTATTAGCAGATATTTAGTTTAATAATTTATTTTGTTTCACACCAGGTAACTAAGAAGAGAAGAAGAACCCCACTCATGTTGGCAAAAACAATTGATGCTGGTCTTCTACGTACAGCTGCCGAGAGAAAGAATGATCAACAGATACTCGTGCAAATCCAGGGGAAAAACTGTGTAGCTCTGGGAATCCGCTATCACAAAGTTTGCTACTGCAATTATACAATATTTCTCACCAGAGAGACGAAGAAGCAACGAGAGCATCAGTGTACGAGAAGTCTTATGATGTATATTTCTGTAAGAAAGTAATTGAGATGGAGGTCGTCAGAAATAAGCAAATAAAGTATATGAAAGATTTGCTGGAGAAATTTGTTATCATTGCTAAGGACACTGAGAATGTGGATGCATCTAAATATAGAGCTTTTAAACTCAAGCAACGACTGATGAAAAGTTATCCCCAACTTGTGTTCTGTGTACTGAAAATGAGAAATGTTAGTGAGATTGTACATGTGGAAAATTTGGATTCTTCTGAATTGGTTGAGGAACATATGTCAATTAAAGGCCTGTTTATATGGAAGCCGGGATGGCCCGCTTAGCAAGACAGCCCAGTAAGCGGGATGAATTTCCCTTGTGTATATGAGAAACTTTCATCCCGCTTGCCAGGACAATTTTGTTACATTGTATTGTTTTGACAGTTGTTAAAAATAGCTTGCGGCGGCATCTTTGAACTTTCATCCCGGCAACCGGGATAGCCCGCTGGTAAATGTTTATATCCTTCTTTCAAACGAGATCTCGGCAACCCGGGCCAGCCTGCTTGTTCATATAAACGCACGATAATTTTTACTATAAAAATAACTACTCAGCGAGATCTTGCTTACCAGGCTGTCTCGCTTATCATGCCAGCCCGGTTTCCATATAAACAGGACCTAAGTCTGAAAACAATGATGAGGACTTTGATGAAGAGAGCTGTACCATTGATGATGATGATGTGAATTCCAACACAGAAACTGAGGGAAATTCTAAAGTCAATGAGTTACAAATTCTATACAATGCTGTATTCATTCTTCACCAAAAGGTGCAAGAAATACTAAAACTGAATCTTCTTTGGCCACCATTGGCATCTGATTTGCCAATGGATAATATTTCAAATCCGACTATGAGGACTGGACTAGATTTCAAGTCCACGCAATTTGATCACGTCCGAGGCGAAGCAGAGGACTGGATCAAAATGTGAGGACTTGAAATCTAGTCCAGTCCGAATTGGAGGATTTGAAATGACATCTCATACGAATAAATCACTACTTAATTAATTTTGATCCAGTCCAAGGACTGAATTAATTTTAATCCAGTCCTAGGACACTACAGGATCAATATACTTCATAAGGTATCTAGTATTATCATGTGAGCAAAATAAAGCAATATGGTTGGCTAATTTGCTCATGAATTATTAATGATTTGAGGTGAACAATGATGGTAATGCATGTAGGTATTATCAGTGGAGTAGATCAGTATTTATTTACTTATTCGATATTCTCATTCGGATCCACAGTATTTATATTATCAACACATATATCCCTCTCATGGACAGGGTTAACAGTATGGTCATGTCTGAGAAGCTAAAACGCACCCTGGTGGAGGAGCTGAAACTCACAGCAGCAAATCTATAAGAAAAAGTCAACTAGTGTGGACACGAAAAACCAGGCTGAATCGTTCCTTGTTATTCTAGATAGTGGCTAAATACCAACTTAAGTCACAATATAAATATAATACATGAAATAGTTCAAATACGAGAAGTAGAAGTTTACCAGACAAAAGCCAGGACAGCTTATTGCAGAATACATGCAATCTCGTTTTGAGCGTGCAAGCCCTTGGCCAGGATCCAATAAGTGGGATTTTATTGCTCTGATGAAAATCTGGGTTCAAAGATGAAAACATTTCTTTCAATTATAGATAGCTATAATGAAATTATGGATTTTATATTTCCTCCCAATTTATCTTTTTTTATGATGAATTTCGAGTTTATATAAATATCCCTTAAAGCCCGGGACGAACTGGGAAACACTGTTGTCATATTATTTGTCTTTCCAATCTTTCGGTATGTCATATTGTCTTATCAGCGTCGGCAAACGGATAAAGAGTGTTTCATAAAATGCTTCTGAAATCTGAATTTGGTAGGAAATAATTTGCTTTCTGGGAAGCAAATTTTGCGTCTGCAATAAAAGCCAATTAAAAATCACGAATATTTCCGCGACATTGTTTCTTACGTTTGGCCAAGGCTTTAAGTTTAGCGAAATATTTCATTTGTTCCTTGATCGTGTGAATTGTATGTTTCTTCTCCGTCCTGTTTGATACAGGTGGTTTTTTTACCTCACACAAATTTGTATTGAATTAGGATGTTAATATAAAGTAGAATTAAACGTTAAAACGGTATTTTGAAACAATAGCCAATGAATTGAAGTGATTTAGCATATGAGCAAGCAAAATATACAATGTGTTTTTAACAATATTTAATGTGGGTGTATTTATATTACAAGGTTTGATCAGTATTCCGTGATTTTATTTTGTTTTTGCGGAGGAAATCGGGGAAACCCCCCAGTGAGAATCTATTTTTATAGTCTGCGCGTGTGCTGTGCGAGTTTGGCTGAGTTGCGCATGCGTATTTGCTTCCAAAATAATGGCGGTTCGTATATTTCGAAGCGGGAAAATATCAAACTTTGGAGGGATTTTTCTCCCAATTGTGCACCTGTTTCACTTGGGGAGCAACGGATTCTGATAAAGGAAGTTTTTATCTATTTATTCATGTGAAAATTACGTAGTTCCACGAGGGGTGCAACGGAATTGCATCTTTTGGATGCTCATCCCACGGCCTATACGTGAAAATGAATATATGAATATGCACCCCCAATTATCGCGTAGATCCTGTCTTCGTGACTCAATTAGATTTGCACACACTAGCTCGCCTTTTGGGAGCTAATTCACGTATTGTACATTGTCCGTTGCCGATTTATTTGATGGTTGTGTTTTGTTCTAGGTGACTGCTTAATAACAGCAGCTACTGGTAACTTAGGTGACGTCGTTGCTGAACGAGCTGGTCTTGTGCCCACTCACGCTTACGCCGTACTCGACATTAGAAAAATACAGGTATTATTTCGGTGAATGTGTTGACTAATTCTGAAAATCATCAATAATCGACAATAAAATCTCAAGGAGATCAGCTTCTTGTCGTTGTCTTGATATCACAGTATCAAACATCCGTATATTTCGTGTAGAATATTTTATTCTACGCATTCCCGAAGTTGTTTAAGTAAGCTGTTTTAGGGGCTGTTTACATGATCCCGCTTTGCCGGTGTCACAGGAAATTTGGCCCCCCCCGAAAATTTGGCCCCCCCCGGGCCATATTTCCTAGGAAATTTGGCCCCCCCTTCGGAAATTTGGCCCCCTCGAAAACATAGTTTACTTTATCGCTATAAGCTCGGAAATCGTGAAGC